CTCCCCCCCCCCACACACACACACAACCCCTGCTCACCTTTCCTCACCCACAAGTGTCCCCTAACAAAACAAATCATGTTTGACCTGAATGTTTTGACCAACGTGATGCAGGTGCTTGATGTTTAAAGACTGGGGGCAAACAATGCTGATGGTTGAGGAGGTCATAGGTTTAATGTCGTTGATACAGGGAATATTCTGTCATTATAACACAGTGGATGGATTCAGTCACTCAAACCTAACTAAACATTTAAGGCCCGAGAACTGACGGACTGCATACAGGACTGAGTCCAAAGTTGGTGTATAGTAAATGTATTTACTTTGTGTGAGTTACTGAACATAGATGTTTTTTCGGGGGGTTCTTAATGACAGGCCGTCACTGCCTGATGCAGACCCAGTGGTGGAGAGTGACAGCTTTGACATTCCAGAGGGACAGACCCTGATGAACCATCCACAGTGGGAGGACTCCCCGGATATCTCGCCCACTGATTCTGCCTCGTCCAAAGCCAGTAAGAAAATAAAATGCAACATATTGGAAATTCTTCATCATTCATTGCCTAATTTTTATTTGTCCCCACTAAAAGGCACCAACCATTCAGATTCTAGGAAGCTTAAGAAGAAAAAGAGAATGACTCTTAATTTAAACAGCGGAGTAGGAGCAGCAGCGGCAGCAGTGGTGGGAGGAGGAGGTGGAATAGGAGGAGTAGGATGTCTGGCCAGTGGCAGCAGCACCAGTGGCGGCAGCTCTCAGAGCAGCATCAGTTTGCCGAGCAAAAAGAAGAGGCCTAAACTTTCAGCCGCTTCAATTTCAAGTACCTATCATGACTTGAACTAGCAACTTGTGACTATGACTGTTGTTTCTCCAGTTGTTCCTACAGTTGCAGGTCTGAGCAGGAACAAATTAACACGACATAGTATTTTAAGCATTCTGCCTTATCAAGAACAGGCAACTCTTTTATTTCTGATACTTCCCCCTGTTTTAAAAACAGAAATGTAAAAAGCTGGGTCAAACTCTATTCGAAGTATGTGACGGTACTTAGCTGGTAAACATGTCTTTAAACAGCCCCAAAATTTCCTCAGTAATGTTGGCACTTTTGTAACATTCTCCAGTGACAGTAGTACTGTAGTGAAACTGAAATGTTTTTATTTCAGTCTGTTAATTAATGGAAAAGATGGGAGGATTATAAGCCGTTATTTTATTTTTGCAGCCTTATCAAAATTCAGTCGGTGACGTCATCTTTTGACTAACTTTACCGCTAATATCATTCCGACTAACAAAGCGCCGTACATGATCTTTCGGGTGTTCGAAGAGCAGATCAGCTCATGACCAATCGGGACTTTCTGTGTCGTGGTGAATGATTGTGGGCTTTTGAACCATGTGTTCTAAATAAGATGTCAGGCCACAGAGATGGAATCCATTTTGCCACAGCATAGTAACAGGAACCTTTGATAAGAGAAATAATTGAAGTGGATCCTTCTGGCAGTGCATGGCAAGTTCGTTACCATGACTCTTTCTTCAGTTGTATTTCCAGGGTAAACCCCAACGTGGCAGTGGTAACGAGTCAGGTCGTAAGAATGCTAAGTTCACAACCAGGGAACAGCTTGTCCAGTCGTCTGTAAGTTAAAGTTTTTTTTTTGTTTGTTTGTTTTTTTTTGGTGAGACCAGAAATGACCTTATTTTCGTTGACCAAATGTTTTAACTCATGGATTAAGTGAGATGTGGCAAAATGTTTGCCCTGTCATTTTTAATTAATTTTTTTAAGGGGGAGTGTAACGGAATACGGCAGGTTCTCCGACTTCCCAGTCTGTGCTGCAGCAGTAACCTGCACTTCTTGTTCTCCCCAGTAGTCCTACCTGTCTATCAGGGACCAATGTGACTGAAAATATTTGCACTTCCATTAAAAAAAACATAGTTGTGGTTACTTTCTTAAGGTTGTAGTAATAGGATAATAATAGCACTCAAGTGAGCCATTTATTTTAAGCCCACCTGGTGCATGTTAAAAATCCTGCGTTGATCATTGTCCTGAACATTTTTGCAGTCGATGCTGGAGTCAGTCCAAGCTTAGGTGAAAGTCAGGGAAATCTCGCACCGCTTATCAATACAACTTTTTCATGTCCCATACTGATATCAGTCCGATACCTTTTTTTCCTCCTTCAGCACGTCGCGGGCTGCTGTTGCTGAAGCCATAGTGTCTCTCAGTACAGCATGTCACGCAAAGTTGAGTTGAGCATTTTGGCTCAGGTACTGGATCTGATGGGCTGTAGTTCAGAACTAGGGAGCCATTCCTAATTCCCAGTCACAGTCACATCTGTGGTGTGGTCAATTTAGCGTAGTACAATATACAAGTAGTTAAAGTCAGAGTTGCTGCTCTGATTAGGACTGATTCGAACACTTTGGGCTGTTGTTGTTAACGTAGAAACGTCAGTTGCTCCTGACCTGTCCTTCATTCTGACCTTTGTGCTCATCTCTCTATTGTGATGAAACACAAACATGGACTGCTTATAATTTAACACTTGACATGTGGGGTGTTCATCAGTGGCTTTTTCATTTGTAGCATTGTATTGCACAGGTGTGTGTGTGTGTGTGTATCTCAGTATCAGTATATGTTGATATTCAGCCGGAATGTCACGTGTGTGAGGGCGCATAATGGAACAGTGGGTGTGTATGAGAATAATCACCTTTATTTCTCAGAACTATGCATCTTGGAATGTGACATTTGGAAATACTTCCCTGTTTACATGCATTTATTTAAGTTTTTATAACTGCCTGTATATAATGAGTGGGTAAATGCAGACTTTTGATGTTTAAATGATCTGTGTGGGTTTTGTTTTTTTTGGGGGGGGGGGGTGGTTTTAGTGTCAGTGCAGCTCTGCGTTTTATTCAGGAAGAGGAGTACACTTGCATCTTGTTTATGTAGAAGAAAGATGTCAGGTGTAAAAGGTGAAACATAGGAAAAATAGCTTTAGTGTTCACATGCACTATTTAAACTTAAATGTTGTATTTGCAGCATTACAGAAGAAAAAATAATGTACATTTTTGGTGGATTGTAGAAAGATAGGACACAGCTTTTGTTTAAAAAAAAAAAAAAAAAAGTATAGTTAGAACCATGTCAACAGGGTAATGGATGGATTGGTAACATCCAGACTCTTTAGTCAAAGTAATTACAGTTCAGTCTTTTGTTGTTGTTAAAGTACCTGTCACTTTTTAGATAGAAACAGCTCTGGAGTACTTTTCTTTTTTGAAATATATTTTTTGACGTAGTACAATTGTGCATAGAACAAGTTTTGTTTGAAACATTAAAATGGTGGTTGTTTTTTTCCCCCACTTTGTCCTTTTAAGTAGAAAATGTCTGATAATTTTCCCCTCGGGCTGTGCTCTTAGTGAAGAATATTGTATTTCAAAACATGAAACTGGTTTATTTTTCAGTGTCTACAGTAATGTTGCCTGTGACCTTTTGATCCTTTTGCACTGAAGGTCAATGAACAGTGGAGTTGCTTTGATGGATGTCAGTCAGTTTTTGTAAATGTCTTCTTTCTGCCGCTCGTTGTGTCTCTGTGCGAGTGTGATGTCAGAATATTGTGTCTGGAACCTGACGTCTTCAATATTTTCCAAGCACAAGGCAGTGCTTGTGTGGTTCACTTGTATCTGTAGAGAATGTGAAATGTACAGTAAGTTATTTTTCTTTACTGCTGTATATTTGTATATAATAAACAAACCACACTCACAGACCACTGGGGCAATGTTGGTTTGAAATGCTTTAATCTGAGACATCAGTGAAGCCAGAGCAGTCCAGCATTATCAGGAGGTTTTTATAATATCAGCTCTCCAAATCTCATAAGTGCCAGATGCAAGTTCACCGGAATCATCCTTTTTTTTATTTACAGAAAATATATAATGTATTTACAATATCCTCTTGAAAAGTTTCCTTTGAATAACTGGTCATTTAAATTAGCCTGTTTCTGAATTAGACCTTTCACAGCACTGCGGCAGCTGTATACAGCATTATTCATTCACATATTGCAAAAAAAAAAAGATAAGGTAAAAAAGTCAAACTGTCACACTCGGCACAACAGAAAGGTGATTCCAAAAGACTTGAGATTTTTTTGCAATCGTATTTTTCGCCCCCTTAAAACACAGAAACTCGACTAACATAACAAGTTACGAGTTAAAGAAAAAAAGTTAAAACACGGTGTGAGCCACTGAGTCACGTTTAAAGAGAAGCTAAATTATGGTTTTGTTTAAAGTAGATCTTCACTCGCTGCAGATTATTCACCCTCACAAATTGTACACTCACCCCTTTTGAAAAACTCAGGAACATGCACAGACAGATTAATAACCTAACCAAACAAACATACCCGTCAGCCCGCATTGGCCCTTTACGATTAGTCCATGTCTACAAACGCCTGTGCATTTACCAAGGTTCTTTACCTCAAAACATTCCACTCTTTAACTGTGCGCCTTTTTAACGGCTGTGCATACCAAATATCAGAAAGCTGAAAAACACAGTGACTCCCACAAGGGAGATGGTCGCAGGGGCGGTGAAGAACTGCCTGTAGATGATGCGGAAGTACCACACCACAGCAAGCACAACCACGAAAACGGGCACCACCAAGCTGCTGGTGCTAAGGGCTACACCAGCGGCTCTGAGTCCCCCGAAGCTGGCTCCCGTTCCTGCTCCTGACTCATCCCCTTCCTCAGGGCTGGGCTCGGGCAGAGCTGGAGAGATGTGGCAGTGGATGACACTGTTGTGTGTAATCTTTAGGGATAAAAAGGTTTTCTTAGGATCCTGCAGCAACTGGCCTTGGTAGATCAACTTGATTTGATGCTCCCGACCTGAGAAATATTTACTGGAACACAAGAGTACGGGAATTAATGAGATGCACTAACAGTAAAAACATGATGTTTCAGATGTTTTTTTTTTAACCTACCTCTTTAACAGTCCTACAGTATCTTCTGGTTCCACAACAGCCAACTCCTCGGTGTCATTAAGGAACTTAAGCCGGATGGAAATGGAAGCAGTAGTCATGGTTGTGGGTGCAACGGTACTTGTTACCAGAGGGACCGACACTACAAGACTTTTATTTTCATCCTCAAGCTCTTCATCGTCATCCTCTTCATAATCGTCATCTTCATCAGAATTAAGCAGTCCCGCGGCTTGTGGTTGTTTGCTCTGAATGTCCAGCAGCAGATCCATCCTCAGTCCTTCCGCATCCTCCCCCTCTCCTCTCTCACTCGCCGGCTCACCCTCATCCGACTTGTTTTCTTGTGGAGGTGCAGGAACTTGTTGTTCGGAGGTGTCGGGACTCTGGGCCCCTCCGCTGTAATTGTCATTGCCCCCCAGCCCGATGAGAGAGGCGTGTGCACCAACGGTAAGGATGGTGCCCAATATGTGGTCTCCTCGGTCAGCAACATGAGTAGAGAGCCAAGCCAAGATGAGGGCAAGGAACAGGAGCAACATTCCACCTGCTGCAGTGACCTCTGCCTCCATCCCATCCAACATGGTCAGTGCACACACTGCCATCTCGGTCCTCCACACCACACTGAATGTACACACATGTAGAGCATTGACTACACAGCATTTGTGAATTCAACACGTGTCATTCTGCTTCTACAAAGGTTCTCCATTTATACAACTGACTTATAAACAACATCTACGCATGCACTTTAAATATGTCAGTTTTTACATTTAGAATTAGATGAACTATGTGACAGTTGGTGACAATTTTACTAGTCAGTCATGGATGATTAATCATTGCATTATGCCATGCAGATATGCATGGCATACTTTGCAGAGAAATTAAGCCTCATAACTGAGACGCATGTTAAGAAACTGACACAAACGCATACACGTCGACTCCTATTTAGTTTCAGCTGAAAGTGTGTCAGACTCGTACTGTAACCACATAGTGACCTTTGACCTGCTATTCAGAACAGACCCTTTACGTAAATCAGTCATTACTCAATCCGGGGTTACCTATAGATTTCACCCTTATGTCAACAAACCCTGCAGACAAGCTTCGCAGACAGGCATGAAAACATTAAAACCAAAATAATGTCCCAAATATTCAGTCATCTGTTAGGAACCTATATAGATATAAGCTTGATCTGACAATTATCCTATCAGGGTCCGCAATAGATATGCTATTTTAAGTTGTTTTCTAGTAGCTGCGATGCAACCACCCAAAACAAGCTCGGCGGTGTTGTATCACGGCCTGTTTGTCCTTACAATTGTCATCCTGCTGTTCCGTGCATTACACGTTCTAATGAAGGTCCACGTATACTTCTGCTTATTGCCTCCCTTACAGCATTGTGTAAAGGCTTCGTTAGCCCGCTAGCTACTTAACCCACCGTGTCGCTGAAAAACGACCTTCGTCTTTTCCGCCTCTCGCTGCTCAGTTTGACTTTAACCATCGTTTAAAATTAGACAACAATAGCTAGAAGTCTGAGTAAATACATAACACCTTGTGACATGACAAAATTAGGCGTTCTTACCTGCCCGCAGCGAAATCAGACCATGTTTGAGGATGAAGCTAAACGCCTGTTAGCAGTTACGCCTCAGAAAAAAAGCGAACACATAACAAACACAGACCAGGCGGTGTGACGTCACTGCCGGCGAAAGAAGCGCTTGTTTTGGATACAGGACATTCCGGTTGCTTCACCCACAATAAGTCAAAGCTCCTGGCAGCAGTAAGTAAATTAAATTTAATATTTATTAAAATGTTGAACATTGGCTTTAATTTTTTTAACTAATGTCTCTTATTTTAAACACAAAAAATTTAATTTGTATATTATTGAGCAAATGTTAGTACTAAATTGAGTACCTTGTCATGAAATAATAATTTATTTTCTTTTGTGCAATATTACACATGTTTGGCTACGTCTGTTTTTTATTTTACTTTTTTGCTGCATTAATTTCTTTTAAAAAATTGATTTAAAATGTGGCATTTACAATCATAAAATCACATCATTGCCTTATAGATTATTTCATCCTTCACTAGTAAGGTTTAATGCAGTTAAACACCCATTATTGGGATGTATGTTCTGAGACAAAATATAATCTATTCATATTATATAGTTGCTTCAATGTTGTATTAAAAAGTCATTATAAATACAAAAAGATAAGCCATCAAGAGGCAAATATACTTGTATTTTATTTAAGAGAACTCTTTACCAAAAATATTTGCTAATGAAAAATTATTTCAACAACAAAACAGTATTTCAGCTTTAAGTGTTAAAAAAAGGGTTTAACCCCAAGATAAAATGTGAATGACACGGTCAGTGGAGTGTCCCATCATTACACAGCAGCACATAATCCCTCACAGAGCTGGGAATGTCCAGTTCACTGACTGCTGAGTAACAGCGAGCTCCAAGGTGCTGGCGTAAAGCACATCGACACAGATGCTGCAGAGAGCGAGGCTGTCCACTGCGCTGACGCACTAAGTCAAAGAAGGACTGATGATCCTAAGACGGAGAAACAGAGACAGAGGATGTATCTGCTGGACTGGAGGGAGGGTGCTGAGATGACAACACTGCAGAGGACTCACCTCGTTTATCTCAGAAGACAGAGAGTCCATCCAGTCACAGTGAGGGACACGGGTATAGGAGTTCAATATCACTTCGAGAGTGGCAGGGGAGAGGACACACTGCTTCAGCAGCTGGAGGGAGAAAAAAACGTATTGATGTCAGCCTAAAAAATCCCTCAAAAGGAAAGATCTTCAAAGCTGTGGGTGTTAAAAGAGAACAGGTGGAAGTGGAAGGTCATTAATGAATTTGTACTATTTCTGTAGCCAGTAGCAATTCTTCCTTTTTTTAGTAAAATATTGAAATAAATGTAAGTTGGGGTCTGAGGTTTGTCAGATGATGAGCCGTCAAGCTGTCTGGTCACTACCTTGTTGCCTGATGTCTTTTAAGATTCTGTCCCTGTAAACCTTTTCATCACTTTTACCAGATAGGTTAACTACGCGCAACAACGATAGGTCTCAGACCTTGGGTGAAACAGGGTTGGCCCCATGGTTGAAAAGTGAACGCGCAACTGCGTCAGGTTGGTGGTCCAAATAATCTTCCACCACCTGGAAAACAACAAGACAAGTGTCAAAGTTCTGCTGCATGAGCTGAAATATATGTCATGACAATTACAGAAAAATAACACCATAGTGCTATGTCTCCCATCCTTGAGTTTTTTTTTAACAGTGATTTTCAACTGGTGGCCCAGTCTACGACTGGATTAAAAAAATTGTCATAGAGAAAAAATGACAAAAAAAATGGACACTTAAATAACTCTCAATAATCCCCTCAATTTATGACTGTTTACATCTGTTATACAGAAATGTGATTTTTATTTTATTTCCTTGTCCGGCCCCCAAGGTGTCTGTTTAGAAAAATGTTGTACCTTTGACAAATGTACTGTAGTTGGTGACCCCTGTTGTATAGGCTTTGATTACTACCTGAATCAGACAGTCTATCGGTGTGTGTCCTGCATAGTTTTCTACATCTGCCTTTGCTCCATGCTGCAAGAGGAGATCGACAATTCTTGAGCAGCAGTTGGCACATGCGTTGTGCAGAGGGGTGTGTTTCTTCCGGCCTGCAGTTGTGGGGTCAGCTCCTGCACTCAGGAGAATTTGAATCACTCGAAGGTAGCGGCCGGACTCTGAGGGCCTCTCGGCTCCAGAGCAAGCTGCATTCAGGGGAGTCTCCCCCTCACGGTTTGTGGCCAACACGTCCGCGTCATTACTCAGGAAGAGCTCCACATGCTCCTCCAGGCCTCGTCGAGCTGCCATGTGTAGAGGTGTGAGCCTCGACTCCTTCATCCTCACGTTGACCTCCGCACCTCCTTCTAAGAGCAACTCAGCACAGCTGAAACAGTGCACACATTTTTTGTCTTGCGCAAGCATTGAGAAAGAAGAACAAAACAAAAGGGAAACTTGACCTCAAGTAACCTTGAGGGCCAAACGGACATAACAATAAAGCTGGACATTTACTGGCTGTTTCGACTCCGTTATGTATCACTTACTGGAAAGACTGGGCAGAGGTGCAGAGGTGAAGAGCAGCACTGCCATCTGTAGTCAACAGTTCAGGATCCGCTCCATGAGAAAGGAGCAGCCCCACGCAGTCAGCATGGCCGCCTATACAGGCATCATGAAGGGCTGTGTTGCCTCCAGGGTCTGCGTTTACCTCGGCCCCTCGGAATAGCAGCTCCTCCACACAAGCTGTATGTCCCCTGCTGGCAGCCAGACGTAAAGCTGAGGTCTGTTTCACTCTGGAGCTCAGCGTCCACATGCCTGACAGAGAATATAAAGGCTATCTGATGTGAAGAATATGGACGAAATTAAAAAGAAGTGTCAGTCTTACCCATCTCTGGAGCCCATGCCATTTCCTCATGCACTGTCTCCATCACAGCATTCACCATAGCTGGGTCCTTTAGCACCGCATACACTCCTTTCATGTCGCCCCACATGAAGGTGTTGTGAATGGCTATGTCCCGACATCGCACCTGTGGTGGTGGGGCCCGTACCTCCTGGAGCCGCTGTTGTCTTTGTGGAATCCTTGGGGCTCTGGGCAGGGGGTCCCTGGTCATGGCTCTTCTATGGGCCAACGCTCTTCGAGTGTCCTCCCACTCCTGAAACTCCTGCTCCATTCGCAGAGAACGCAGTGATGTGGATGTAAAGGGGAAAGTCTCCTTTGCCATGGCACCCTGGTGTAAGCACAAGAAAAAATATTTCCCCCACAAATACTTCATACAAAGAATACACTATACATAATGTATTTTGTCCTGAGGTTAAAGTTAATCTCTCTTAAAGGAAATGTTGAATCCTATATGTAGCAACAGGTCTTGTGTCAAACACTTTGGGCGATGCTGTGTTGATAAATGGCAGCCCTCAGTGCTTACTCACCTTCCACAGGAACTACAGTCTAGTAGTCTCTTGACTGGAGTCAAAGATGTCCAAGCAGAGGTCTAAACTTTCATTACTCTACAGTAAATGGGCTGTGATTTGTTTTTAAGTTACATCATAAGAAAGCCAATGAGAATGAAGTCAAAGAAAAACAAACCGTCATCTGAAAGTACAGTCACAAGTTTGTTCCCCAAACCTAACTGTAGCACTGAGTATTAATAGCTCAGAATGCAAGCTGATACTTGCATTATTAAGTATGCCCGCGAGATGGCAGCGTAGATCTAGCATTGACCTCTGAAAACGTATATAGGAAATCAAAGGCGAAACAAGTCTTTACATGCGTAGGCCACCATCGGCAATCAATATTAATTCAATTGGGTGAAGCAAAATTGACACCTGAAAAATCAACCTTAAAGTTGGCATAATGAGCTTACAGATATAGTAATATCCTAAATGACAAACGTGTGTAAAGATTTATTTTAGGGTTTCTTGTCTTGGTTAATTACTCCAACATAAATATTGTAAAATAATTATTGTCAATTAAAAGGTACTTTAATGTTAAATTTAAATCTGCACACTCGACCTTTAATACTAAATCTAGTTTCCACGTGACTAAAGGGGGAAGCGCCGTTTTAGCCCAAAAGAGAAGTGAGAGAATAAACCCTCTTGCTCTGCTTTAAAATCTTTGTATATACACGTGCGTGCGTACGTCGTGTTTGAACGTGACGGCGCGGAAACAATCCGCAGGGGAGGCAAAGTTTACGTTCAACTCCTTAGTTTGTTTGCTGATTTGTATAGAAAAGTAAAGTTATGTGTATACGGGTATCTTTAATGACAATAAATGTCTTACTGAATCAATGCAAATCGAGCAAAACAGGTTCTGTCGAGGTATCTAATGCCTGCAATGGTAAGTGACAAATTATTAGTGTGAGCTAACTACGCTAACGTCACCCATGGCTAACTTTAATAAACACTGCGTTTTCGTTAATTATACCAATGTTTTGCTACGTGTGTACGTTTGTGTGTTACAAGAGTATCGTTTCTTCTTCTGCTACAGACTTGTAAAGTAAACAGCCTGTTCAGCACATTGGACGACTTCAACAATGAGGTGAATCACAGCACACCTGATTTCAGCTGTAAATTAGCTGTCAGTGCACTGTTCTAAATCTGAACCACATTAACACTAATATGGATTTCTCCAGGACTTGCTTGGCACAGACTGGACTGGGCCCTCTGCATCTGGACCGTCCAACTCTGTAGCAACAGCTGCTGTGTCATCAAGTGTGCTCCGAGCCCCCTCTGTTACCCGCAGAGAGCCAGAAAAAAAGTGCCTCCGGCAAAGTGCACAAGGATCTGCCGTCCCCACTAATGGCACAGCATCAGATAGTGGCACACAGGCTCTGAGTTCAAGGCAGCTTTGTCCCCCCAGATCCTCCACCTCCTCTTCCTCCTTAGAGTCTCATGGCACAAATGTATCCACAGTAAATAACACTAAACCTAATGTAGCAGCACCACAAAGTCATGGCAGCACAGAGGTGTTGCTAACGCCTTGTGCTGCTCAGGATGATTTCGACGACTGGGACGTTGACCTGGCAGACCTGGATGAGTGTGACGGCCAGGTGGCACAACAGATTCAAGCTCGTTCTCACTCTCCACCTGGGCTAACATCAACCCCGATGCTTAGACCCCTAAACTGTGGAAGGACTCAGGCACCACCTCATCAGACCACTGTCGGTGCATCTAAACATAATGTCCCTCAGACTCTGTCAGCTGCTCATTTAGGATCACCAGTGTTGCGACCTCGCTTTCCATCAGCTCCTGTTCAGAGTCCTAATGTTTTCTCTGGCCTCACTGCAGCCTCTCCTGCTGCAAACCCTGCTTCCAGGTCATTTGTCAGGCCCCAGCAGCCTCAGAGACAGTGGTCCACTCCGGGACCTAAGCCTCCTGTTGGTTTTGAGTCGGTCCCTCCATCATCTTTCTCGCCCTCTGTAAACTCTTCCATTCTTAGCCCTCATCCTCTTCACACACCTGTCCTCACCAACCGTTTGGTCCAGCTAGTGTCTGCATCCCATAAGCTTCCCAAAAAGAGGCCTAACTCTGAGGTCCAGAAACGCAGGACTAGACGGTTCCCTGGCCCTGCTGGACTTTTGCCAGTGCAGGTTCGTATTCTCCTCCAATGCAATACTGCTTTAGTATTTCTAATTATAAATTGTCAGTGTTGCCTTTTAAGAAAGAAAATATGATAGCAGTTTGCCTTATTGCCTATTTGAGCCAGGATTTTAGCCACCGTTCAGCCTGTTTGTCATAGTTGCACTAATTAAAGGCCAACTGCCAAAGAAAATCTAATTTCAGGTGCTTTCCCCCCCCCCCCACAATGTGTGATGTTATAATTTGATTCCTTTCTTTCAGCCTGAAGCTCAGACACTGGATCCGGTCGTGGTGTCTGTTCCTTTCACTCCTGCTCATGGCCCTGTAGCTCGGTTGCCAAGTCAGGTAATAAAAGCACTGACAAAGAAAGGTAAAACACAATAAAGCTTGTTTTTATATTTCTTTAACGAAACATCAAACCTGCTCACATCCAGAATTAAAACTATCATTGTGTTATTATTTATAGATTAATACATTGTATTGTCTTTAATATTTTGATCCACAGAGTAAATTTCCTAGATTGTCAACCTACTTTCTCATTGGTTCGAAATTAGAGCTGTATTTATTATAAATACTCTAGTCCTTTGCATACTTAATGATAGTGTACCCCCCCCCCCAACAAACAAACAAATAAGAAATTTCACTACTGTGAAACAGTAAATTAAATTAAAATTGAAATTGTTTACAACCTGTTGGGGACCCCAACATTTAGTGGTCAGATTACATATTGTGGTTAAATAGCCATCACCCATTATTTTCTTGCTTCTGTACATCATAGAACATACCCCATAGTGTGAAACAGAGGAGCAGTAATTAATAATGAAGACACTGTGACATTTGTTCAGGTTCCTTAGCAGATGTTTATGGAAACTTACTTTGGATTTTGATACCCATTGATAAAAGCCTGCTTTCACAACATTTCTCTCTCAAGCTGCCTGATACCAAACCCAGACAGTCGGGATTTCCAACCTGCAGTGCGTGAAATGAATTTCCACACAATCAATCTATCAGCATCAAACTGACTGACTGAAAAATAGAACCACAAAAAGCACTTTGAAGAAAGGCAACTTTTTACAAAGAGTAACATAGAATTCAAATGATAAGTCAGGAGCCACGTCAGTGAAGTGGTCGCTGTGAGCCAAGTGTTTTTGTTCTCGCTTTGAAGGTTTCCAGCTCACAAATGGAGGATGACGACTTCAGCGGCGCTGCCTGGGCACTGATGATGAAGGAGATGGGATTGGACGAGAGGAACCCTACGTGCTTCTTGCACTCCTATAGTGTGGTTATGGTTCTTCGAAAGGTGATATGTCTCCACTATCACGTTTTTATTCTTGTTAATCTTTAAAGACTTAAAAACACATACAGAAAAAATCTCTCAAATACAACAGCACATTGCAAGTGTATGTAATGAAGTATAATAATGTTCCAGTGTCAATTTACCTAAAAAAAACAAAACAGGCCTGGCCTTTATAGTTGAACACCATACTGATATACTCCCAGGAATTGAAGAAATATAAACGTGAAGACAACAGCTCTGTAAATATGTTGTTTTTTTTATTTTTGCTGGCACTACAAAGCATTTAATTTAGGAACACCAGCACTACTCAAGCAAAAAAGTTGGTCCGGAGTCTTCGCTAAAAACTGTCTTACTGAGACACTTTTACACGTGTAGCGCTGTATGTGGTAGAATTTGGGTCAAGTACTTTTTCTCATTGGTTCTGCTCATCATAAGAGACTGAGTAACTACCTAAAGTCTGTTGGCGTAATCAGGACAAATGACTCTGCGTGGTGGAGGTGTTGTGTAATTTTAATTCCTAAGATGGTCATCAATTATTTAAACAGACACACTCCGCTGTATTTGTGTTGCTTTGTTCGCCTCGGTCTTTACCGAGCAGCACGTCTGTGTTTTTGAGTGGCGGTTTTAAGGAGAGATTTTCAAATGTTGACTTAATGTCGTGCTGACTTTTCACCAGCTGTGTTCACATGCACACGTGGCAGATCCGTGTTTAAGCCCCTTCAGGTTAAGCTGCTTACATGAACATCAGTCTCCGAAAATCCCGGTTTCCCGTTAACATACAAACCATGGATGTCACTCACCGTGTGACTGAACAGTAAGAAGAAAATCTCCCCGACTCTTGGTGCTTCACAGCAGAGCTGAAGTACGAACTCAAGCTTCAGTGTTAAGCTTTAGCAAAGGACCAATGACAGACAGAGAGACTGCAAACGTTTTCATGATTCTTCCACAGGTCTCTATGGTTTCAAAATGGAAGATCATCACTATAATGTGTACTCTGTTCTCAGGCTGCACTGAAACAACTGGTGAACAACAAAGTTCCAAACATGGCGGTGGTTTTGAAGACCATCAATTACACACACACCGATGCCAAGGTTGTGTTTAAAGACCCGACAGGTACTGTGCAGAATGCAGAGTCAATTTGCCAGTTTGGAATCCTAACATTCTGACATGCCTGTTACTCTTACCACTGGGCCAGGGCCGCTCCAGTTGAAGACAAAGAGAACAATTCTTAGGGTATTATGTGAAGAGAGTGGAAAAATTGTTTGATCCAATCAGCACACATTCTGTTTCCTACTATTATATTATATTGTATTTTATTATATTATTATTATATTATTATTATATTATATTCTGCTGCTCTGTTTATTTTTTTCCACCCTTTGTCAGATCCATGCTCCAGCCTGTTGCCATGGCCCCCAGAGAACAGCCACATGAGATGTTCAGATTATTAACGCTCTGAAGTGGATGTTAGTCTCCACGTCAGACCTAAGTGCTTATTAGTGATTCTATTGCAGTAGATTGCCGTCAGCCGGGGGCTTGTATTCAATGTTTCTGACACCAGTTGAGGCCTGCGTGTCATTTATGTACTTTACCTCCAGCATCGTTCTTTTCGCCACTAATTTCTCTCTGGAGCTGATAACGACATGTGATGATTATGAGAGTATAGAGCAGTGTTTACCAGTATTTTTCGATCCGAGGCAGGTTTTACAATAGAATCCCGCAGAGCAGCATCAAGCAAAAATGGTGCAAAAAGTACATGTTATAAAATAAATAAAAAATAAACTTGTGCCTGTTTAGTTTAGTTTAGCATAGAGTCACAGGAGTTAAAAAAAGCCACAAAGATTTTTTTTTGTTTTAGTTTTTTACTTTGTAACCATCTGCTGCCATTGCATTGTGTTCAGGTTGTTGTCGCAAGCATGAACGAAAAGACAAAACATTAGCAGTGAATAATTTGAGAAAGATTTAAAATGACATAAATGTAAAGTTTTACATCAGATTTCGTTTTCTTTACGTCCTGCCATTTTACACAATTAATTATTAATGCAAGAATATTCTTGTTGTGTTTTAACAAAGGCGAGATGCAGGGAACTGTCCATCGGCGTCTCCTAGAGGGCAGAAGGGACGACCTTAAGGCTGGAGTAGTACTGCTGCTTAAACAGGTAAAACACACTGCTACTGGTTCTGTCAAAATTATTTAGCATATAAAACCTGCCTTTCTTGTCTTAGCAGCTGTCTCATGCTTGTTTGTTATGGTAATTCTTGTTTTGCTCTTGGCTTCAGGTGGGTGTGTTTTCTCCCTCCCATCGCAACCATTACCTGAATGTGACACCCAACAACCTTCTGAGAATCTACACCGCTGATGGAGCCAGTGTGTCCTCCACCCAACTGCCCCCGCTGGTTCTAGTGAGTGATAGCGCTAAAAAGAGGCACTCAAACAAATATTAAATCAGTCATGCACAATTACTCTGTCAGCCTGGCTCTCACAGTGTTTTTACCCCCTCCCCCACTCTCCGTCAAGGAGCCAGTTTTGCAGTCACCAGCTCCGTCTCGCAACATCTGCCCAGAGCCAGTATCTCAGATGCAGCTGGTGTTTGACGACGAGGACGAGGAGGGGCGTGAAGGTGAAAAATGTTCAGAAGGAGGCTGCGACCCCCAAACTGCAGTGGCCGTCGGAGTGACCTCTGGCTGTGGCCGTGAGCAGCCTGACGGCAGTGCAGTACTACAGGACCCAGACTGGGACGCAGGTCAAGGTCTTTATTGTTTAATAAAACTAGAGACAACAAGACAAATATTTATTCATCCATTCACGTCTAAAATGATGTGCTTAGAAAAAAGGAAACAATTTAAAAACCATGCAGTTCAACAAAGAAGACCAGGAATCTATGGCTACTAGCCAGTCAAACTAGTGGAGTTCTGCTAATTCTTTCACATAATAAATGGTGTTGAATGAACTTGCAGACCTTCAGTGTATGAGAACGGCAACACAGGATTTTATTTCCACATTAGATTGCCACGTAAAACGTTTTCATGAGGAGATTACCTTGGAGACAATTTTTAAAAAAAAACAAGTTAATTATCAAGTGAGCTGGGTACAAATTCTGAAAAAAACAAACAAACTGAGCTGAGCTTCATAGCTGCCAATAGTGTCTGTGACTGCATTTAAGTCAGCACTTCTGCATAAGTACGCACATGTACAACAGATACAGCAGTCACTGGAAAAAGGCAAAAGGTTGCAAGATGGGTAGATTATTTTTCAGTGGTCATTTGTAAAGTAGATTCTCAATCTTTTTGGGATCTATGCAGAAACCAGAAAGAAAACCCCACTCAAGGATGAGATTCAAACTTCATAGAAAAGGTCACGTGACCGATTAGCAAACAGGGGGTTCCTTTTATTTGAAACACAAAAATGTCACGAAACTGCTATGATCATTGAACAAAGAAAATACAATTGAAAATAAGCCTTGCTTTCCCCTCCATGCCCTCTGTCCCCCCCCCGCCCCCCCGCTCCCCACATTGGAAACCACTGCTCCAAGGAAAGTTTTCCAAACACCAGTGCTGCTGATGTGGTTGTGGAGACAAAGTGTGACGCTCTTAAATGTCTCTGTGTTGTGTTGTGCAGATGACGACCTGGATGAGCTGCTGGGAGAGGTACCAGAAGACCCCTGCTGACGGCGTCTGATGTGAATGTACATCAGTAACAAAGAACTTCTGTTCATAACTGACCCTCTTAGATACTAAGCAGGTAATAAGACCACTGAAAAAACATGATGTGGACACTTTCTTTTGGAATTATTCTTTTTCTTTCTTCAAATCCATTCACTGTGTGTTGAGGACACATCCATCCAAAACCAACATGTGCTCATTAAATCCAAGGCTGCAGCAGCACACTCTATTTGATTTCAGCTCAACTTGTCTTGTTATAAAAAAGAAAAAATATAATTAGAGAGACTGTGTGATATTATTTTTTTTAAATAAAATATTTATTTTTTCTTCATTGTAGCAATAACTTGATCATAAATTTAAAGACAAATACAGGCAGTACTGGTCTGTTAATTATGCCAAAACAAGAGAGAGTCGGACTGTTTGAGTGTGTTGTTCTGCCGTTTTCTTCTTTTTTTTTTAATTTAATTTTGGCTGACTCCATTTAGCGGGCACCGAGAGTGAAGTGGATCAAATGTGAGCCAACTTTTCACACCGCGTGTTAGAGGTTATTTTGTTGAGGCAACAGAAAGGTCAGCTTGAGTCCTCCGATATGTGCCTGAGTGAAAAGTGCACGGCCCTGCCTGACTTTGGGTGGATTTTTGTTGGGATCAACGATGTCTGTTGATACCTCTCTCAATAGGACCTGAGCCTTAGATCCTGAGGTTCCTGCTTGAACCGTGCCTCAGGAACACTGATTCCTCTTAATCCTCTGCCTCTTTGTTGTTGTGTCTCTGACGCTGCTGCTGCAGAAATGTCCCGGTTCAGGCTGGAAAGATGAAAGGAATAAGGTATATTCGCTGTATTGCTGTAATTACATTTTTCCCTTATGCTTTATGGTGTGTGACTAACACATTTACACCATTCTATGATACAGCTTTGGCTGTTTTGGTTCTGAATCAAATTGAACCATGGATTTTGAGTTAGGGAGCGGCTGTGAGGGTAAAGTGCTGACTCTTGGCTTAAATTAAGGGCATTTACATTCATTTGGGATGAGCAGCGTGACAGTGTTGCCAAATCCGGCTGCTTCGGATATCCAGTTACTACAGAAGTACCTCATGTGTATGGACTTTACACAGAAAGACCAGCTTGCACAAATTTTGCACTCCCCTCAGTTTTAAAAATGCTAAGAATAATGTTTTACATAATTTTGTCCCTAAAAACAATATCCAAAGCTTGTGGTAGAGTAATTAAATTAGCTAGGAATACAAGTCCCTGGTACTGGCTGTTACTGGGCCGCACAAAAAAAAAGTACCCTTTTCTGGTCACGTAAAGAATAATTGACATTAAAAAACATTTTGAATTGTCTAACATTGTGACAACACCGTTTCCGTGTTTAATCAGGCTCAGCTCAGAATTATAAAACTCCATATTTTGCAGCGTTGGAGAAACTTACTGATATTAAATTCTTCTTGAAAGCAGTTGCCCTACGTTAAAGTACCACTAGAGGGTAGCATACAAAATAACCATGGCACAGCATTAGTCAATATCGTACGTAGGTCTCAGGAGTCATGATAATAAAAGTACTTATTAAGAGAGTCGATTAATTTGGCCTCTTGTAAACCATCCGTCTGTGCTCATTCACTTCTGTTCTCCATTATCAACAGGCTATTTCTGATAGTATTTATAAAAAGTCAGTGCTTGAATGATTTACAATTTTTTTTTTATTATTTAAAAAAAAAACAACAACTGTCCTTTTAAATTGTCCGTTCCCCACACAGAGTTGTTTACAGAATTGCAATTTCTGATCTACTTCCAGGATTTCACTTTTGAAACTAGATATCTTAGTTCATTTAATTTTTTTTATATAAAAGATTAATGGGTTGTCATTTAAAAGACATTTACAGAGGCCTCTAATAATCTGATATTTAGAGTAAAAAGAAAATGACTTTCAGTTGTTATCAGCTTACCATCAAATAATCCACACACAGCATCAGCTTCACCTTTTTTCTAGTGTCTAAACATCTGTCATTTCTTGAGTCAGGGACCAGATGCATGGCCGTGAACAAGACACATGGAGATGCAGCTGGATTCAAACCCCCCACTTGCTGGATAGAAGACTGATTCTTTACCAACTGAGCTAAGAATAATAGTTACATAGAAGAGCTGTGAGGATTTACCGCGTAATTCAAAGACAAATATTAAACCTGTACTTCTTAATTTTGTTGAAAGCTGTTGAGCATCAACAAGTTGCCAATTAAACAGACATGAATATAAGGCTGGGACTGCTAATGGCCCCATTTGTCTTGCAGATACAACGTTGGCCTGATGGATAAAAGCAGATAAGATTACTAAAGCATAAAGCCCTGTTCTCAACTCTGGAGACTTTTTAATCCCTGTAAAACTATGCTCATTACCTCAGTGTGAAAAGGGGAGATTTGCTTAATTAAGTTGTTAAGAAACCAGCAAAGCCTGCAGCTGTCTAAGAGGAGAGCGAATTTCATTTGGGAGAACAAATCTGATGGACCGGCAGAGCTTGTTGGTGTAAATGCGTGTGGACCTAACACAACAATAGAAACCCAGGGCTGTACTGTCATATGGTTTATTCATTAGAGCTTCTTTCCTGCTGTGGATTATTAAACCAGTGGTTGAGTTAAACCACTGCCCCTCATTTGTAGCTTGGACTTTTCTGGCCACAGATCATCATCTGCCTCCACCCTGTCCCCCGCCTCTTCTGTTTTTACACCATCCACCTCCTCCTCTCTCAGCCTCCTAACACCTCGTCCTCTTTCCTTCCTGGATGGTCTTCGACCAACACTAGTCCAATTAACTTTGTTAACCTGGGTCACGACCGAACCAGTATGGAAGTCATTTTTGTGATCCACGTGACACGTTTTATGTCGGATACTACTAGGAGGAATGAAGAAAATACAAGAAAAAACAAGTAATGTAGCTAATGGGCAAAGTCAGTTAAGCTCTTTAAAAAAAACTATTACTATTTCACTTACTTGTGGTAATATTGTACTTGGAAGGTTTTGGGGGTTAAACCACAGGGTAATGTGACAGATGCTAAGTTAGAGCTGTTAGCTTACTTTAATTGGTGGGACTAATTATCTTAAGCTAATGTAATTTGTTCTGAAGGTGGTTTTTTCCCCCTCTTAGAGTCCAAGGTTAGAGAAGATTTAATAAACCTACTACTCTTTACTCTTTTCTAAGGTTTTAACCCAAGGGGTCTAAATATTTATTTGTAAGCCTGCCACTTTGGCTGCTCATTACTTTTTAATCACTTAATTAGAGCTTTACAGTAATTGCCCTATAACTTAGCTAGAAATAAGGCTCACTGCAGGTGGTTTGTAATTCAACAATGTGATCCTAAATTTTTAATGTTGTCTGAAGAATGTGGGCCTTCTTCCGACATTGGCCCATGAACAAGAGGTTTTTGCTTTTGCCATCTTTCATGTGAAAATTAAAAATATTTTTAATTTCATTTACTGTTGTTGGTTTATTGGTGTTTTTACCCACAGTTCCCAGAGAGGCGCCAACTTAGCATGACAATTATCTTTTGTGTGACCTGACCTCTTTTCTATGTCTGGTTCTTTCATTCTGGTAAACTTTCATTGCTGTAGTTTGGACTGTAGATGGCGCCAAGCTTTATTTCTTTGCTGTTTGTTTTGAACTGTCCTACTCTCCAGCTCGGTCCAACATTTAGCTCATTAATAAGACAGTTTTTCATTAGTTGGCTCTTCACTGCATTTGTCATATATTCACCCACAACTGAGTTTTGTGCAGTAACCTGTACGGACTACAGGCTGAGGTATGTGGCAACCAGTAGGTTAACACCGCCATTCCACAGGGAGCTGTGTCATGTTGCATAGCACATGTAATGATATTTTAGGACATTTTAACAGTCTGGTCAGAATAACTTAGGTAGGTTTGTAAGATAAAAAAAAAAATCAGGTCCAAACGTGTATATAAACCCATACACATACATTCTCACATTCATAATAGGAATAGTATGAACTAGTTGTACTAAAAAGTAGTAATAATTGTGAGAAAAAAAACACGTAAAAACCACCCATCATCCCTGTGTCCTCCTCGGTCTAACAAGTCTGCTTCACTTCCCATGACAAATGCCCCATCCATCCATCCATCCATCCATCCATCCATAACTCTGTTAGTGCGGTGAAACGATGTGGAGACAGCAGAGGCACAGGGACAGATGAACGGAGGAAGAAACCAATTCAGCACCAGACTTGGCTGAGGAGAGAGTAAGCGGGGAGAGTGTCGCCGACCCTCTTCTTCATCACTCCTCCTCCCATCTCCCCCCTTTCTCTCCCTCTCCCTTTCTCTCTCCCGCTCTCACTTCTGCGAGAGCATGTGTTGGTGTGTGTGCGACTCCGGTCTGTACCGACTCCGCTGCTGTTCGCCGCTGCCACAGAGGAGCTGGGAAGAGGAGGAGAAGCAGGTGTCTCTGGGAAGAGGAAATCAGGTGGAGTTTGGATCTGCTTGCAAGACTAACCAGCAGCTCTGAACATCAACAGGGCTCTCTCTCGCGCTCTCATGCACACACACACTCTCTCTGTCTCTCTCTCTCTCTCCCACACACGCACAATCACACTCTCAGACTCACACACTCACGCCGGCTGGATGGCTCCTCACTAGGCTGAACGCAAGAGGTGCTATGGCTTATCTGTATTTGGAAGGCATGGGAGATCCAGAGTAACCTGCGTGTGCGCGTGCATGCGTGCATGGATGAGTGAGCACCCTCGTCTGTGACTGTGTGTTTGTGTGTGTTTTGTTGAATTTAAAAACAACAGCTTTGATTGGGTCGCAGATTCACCGACACTCACCTCCCACTCCTGGTGTCACAGAGGACTTGACTCTTGGATTCTTGTCAATGAAATCAAGTGCTGAGGCCCGGAGGATGTTGGGGGGGTGGGGGTGCGGGGTGTATGTGTATGTTGAGTGGATATGTGTGAAAGAATGTGGAGGTGGGTGTAGAACAAGCTGCCGGCGGTTAAAGTGACTGAGGGAATTGAATGAGAGAGGAGGTGAACAGAGAGCTGCTCAGGGGAGAGAGTTTTTCTCCCTCAGCTCCAACTTTGTCGTTGTTGTTGGTGGAGTAGTGGTGGTCCGATGTTTGGCTTCCCGTCTGTTGTGTTTCCATGAATGATTGCTGAGGAAGTCCCTTCCTGTCTGCAGCCCCGTATGTGTGCTGTATATGATGTGGCAAACACAGCTGTTGCAATAATCACGTGGTTTAAATTGATGTCTCCTCTCTGCCTGCGCAGGTGTGACTTCACCAGGGGCTCCCTGGCTGAGGAGCTGGAGGGCTGATGATGGATCTGAAGGAGCACTGTGGGAGTCAGGAGAGCTCCAACTTACGTCCCACCTCCTGGCAGGCCTTCGCCCACGCCAGCACCTTGCATGGCCTGCGCTTTGTTTTTCCTTATGGTCAGCCCAGCGTGCGCCGCTTACTCTGGGCTGCAGCCCTGCTGGCCTGCCTGGGACTCTTAGCTCTGGAAAGTGCTGAACGTCTGGCCTATTTCCTCTCCTACCCCCACGTGACCAGTGTGGATGCAGTAGTATCCGGCAGCCTGGTGTTCCCCGCTGTGACTATTTGTAACCTTAACACATACCGCTTCAGTCCCCTCACACGCAATGATCTATATCATGCTGGAGAACTGATGGCCCTTTTGGATGTGCACCTGAACATTCCACAGCCACACCTGGCTGAGACCGAAGTACTGGCTACCCTGCTGGACAAAGCCAACTTCACCAAGTATAAGCCCACACCGTTCAGCATGAGGGAGTTCATGGAGAGGGTCGGCCACGACCTGAAGGAGATGATGCTCTACTGTCGCTATCAAGGCCAAGAGTGCAGCCACGCTGACTTCAAAACCGTGAGTACTCTTATCTTTTTTACCCCCTCATGTCAGCAATGTTCTCGGATGTCTTATCTGTCGTCGTGCAGTGTAAAGTTTTTAGGTTGCATTTCTGAGCCTTACAAGAAATTCTTTGCTGCTATGCATGGAGTCCCCCGCTGTGATTTCTCCCTGGACTGTTTCGTCTCGAGCTGTGTGTGTAGGTTTTTGCTGTTTTCTTGTTCTTGTTTTAAGCCTCGTCATAAAAAGTGCTTGTGAGCGCACAGAGTTGGGCAACAGGTGTGTGATTTTACAGTCACCAAGGAAAAACAATTGCTTTGTCTTTGGCCATGGTGAGAAGTAATTTTACCTCAAAACCCTCAGGCACTTAATTTTCTCTCTCCAGAAAAAAAAAAAGTTTTGTTTGTTATTTTATTACAAATGAGAGCACTCAAATGATTTTGTGTACCTGCGTTTGTCTGGTACAGCCAAGAAATATGCTGCTACCTGGATAGTTTCTGGTTTGTTGTACTGACTGAACTGAGTATTTGATAGTTTTGTTTCAACACGTTTGTCCCGGCAGTTTGAAACCAGCATGAGTTGGCGCAGATTTATTTTGGACATCATTTTAGGAAATCCCACTTGTTGCAAACTTGGACTGTCTGAGACTAATTGTCAATGGAGCCAACTGGCAAATGTGTTGGAAGCATTGCATTGCGTTTACCTTGTGTGGAAAGGCGACAAGTTTTTAAAAAGCATTATATTTGTGACCGACATGTTTTAGGTTTGTTTATTTCTTCAGGGACAAGCCTGAGGTTGGTGCAGCCTTTTATAATCTTTTAAAAAAAACATTTCTGAGAAATTCTGGCTAAGGATATTGTTAGCTGCATTAACAAATCATGTTAATGTGTCTGCAAACTATTGTCAAATCCATTCACAGATTGAATTTATTCTACTGTTCTTTGCTTTAAATTGGCAAGGACACCACTGATTTCTGTAATCCTTTGTGCCGTGCACCGTGGCCCTGAGCAAGTCTTGAAAAGCTCAACATCCCGCTTATATCAGCCAGGATTTATGAACATAAAAATTGAGAAATACATTTAAATCACATCTGGGAATATGAAAAAACAACAGTCTGTACTATTTTATTCAGCTTATTTAAACGTAACACTTG